CAGTTTCGCTCTCAGTTCAACAAAGCCAGAGGAATGGCTGCTGGTGTTGCTCTCAGGGGACCACAACCACCACAAGATGATGATGGTCCAAAACCCATTCTTCCAAGTTTCGTCCCTTGTAACCAAGTCCATGTAGTGGCAGCCAGGCCTCCTGCAGTTGCGCAGCTTCCTTCCATTGCTGACAACAATGATGAGGATGATGTTACCGAAGAGGATGGCCCCACTACTTGGAAGCCAAAGAGGATGGTGAAGGAGTGGGAGAATGAGCATGGCATTCGCCATGTCACTATCATTGTCTGGCTGAGCAGTGGCGCGACTGAAGCCGACATCAAAACCATGGTCTCTGCGAATGGCAAGAAGCTAACAATCAGTTAGAAGTGGCACCAAGACCTCTTGGATATTGGGGAGTTCTATTATCTCTATCAACAACACACAAAGGAAAACCTAGAGGATACCAATGTGAGGCGCCATGCCATGCAGCAGTATGTCAGGTCCATCCTTGATGTCAGGGGTGATGTCATTTCAGAGTTCACTATGGAGCTGCCATTTCCAGTTGATCCCTCTACCCTCAATGTGACCTTCCCAAGCTTTGAATCTGGTGCATTGTTCTGCCATGTTGACTTGGCTGAGAAAAGGAAGAAAAGGGTAGCTCAATCCTTTGTCATGAGGAAGAGGCATGCCAAGGGCAAGAAGAAGGGTGATATTGAATACAACAACCTGACCCCTCATCACTAGACAAACTCAACAACAGCCATGGCTTTGATGTGTGTTAGGCACACTGTAAACAAGAACAACAACCAACCAATCTAGGAGCAACCTGTTGAGTGCTCATGTAATCAACCAAAAGGGCAGCTTGTTGAATGCCCTTATAAAATAGTACTTGAATGTAGTGTGTAATGGCTTGTGTAGTGGTGTAATGCGTTTTCCTGCTCCTCCCTGCCTCCGGGAGGCAGCTGGCTCATCAGCGACCTTCGTTGCCAAAAGTGTTCCAGTACATCATACCGCTACAGCGCGGTACCGGTTGGTACCAGTACCGGACGACAGTGCTTTTCTTTTTGGAGGCAGACCGAAACACCCCAATAAAGTGTGTAACCTTTGAGGACATTCTAAGCCACCATGTCCGTACTGCTACTAGATTTATCACAATTGTATGTGAGCCCACTGGTGGTAAAAGCAGCCAAAATTCCACCCTGTGCATGATGTCTTCCACCAGGGCCGACAAAGCCATGATGCCCCCCTTTCCCCACAGAAAAAGGTGACTGCCCATGGGATGAACACACATGCAGTGCTGTGGCCAGAAAGGGCAACTTGGCAATCCTGAAATACTAGTATGCCCATGAAAATGGTTGCCCATGGGATGAAGACACATGCAGCGATTCTGCTGCATTCTTTGGCCAAATAGAGAACCTAAAATACTCCCATGAGAATGGGTGTCCATGGAATGAAAAAGCATGTGCCAGTGCTGCATTAAGTGGATAGTTGGATGTCCTCAGATATGCCCACGAAAACGACTGCCCATGGGATGAATCCACATGCACTGGTGCAGCCAGAAATGGCCACTTGGATATCTTGACATACACCCACGAAAATGGCTGTCCATGGAATCGAATCTGTGATTGGAATTATCGATCAAGCAGCAACGCTGCTCAAAATGGCCTTTGAACATTCTGACATATGTCCATGAACATGGTTGTGAATGGGATGCGGAAACATGCCGCAATGCTGCCTTTCATGGCGGTTTGGAATGCCTCAAATATGCGGTCATGAATGGTTGCCCATGGGAAGAAAATGCAGACATGTGTAGCATTGGTTCTGTCGAGGTACAGGCTTGGTTGCAAGACTTCATATCTCAAACAAATGCGTAAGATCCCATGCCTGCCATTGAAGTGTAGAAAGCAAGTTGATGTATGTATTCGCCTTTTCCCCCTGCATTATAGCCAGTGAACTAGATTGCCTTGTCTCCTGTCTGTCTAGCTAGCTAGCTGGCTAGCTTGTAATAGTCATGTAAAATAATATGTGTACCCTATCGTTTAACGCATTGCTCTAGCTAGCTGGCACAGTTCAAAACTTTTGGCGTGTACTGATTCCATCTCGCCATCTAATTTAAATCCATCCTCAGTCCATCATTAGTTGGCAATTTGCTCCAAGAGCCATCCTTGGTTTATTGCGTAATTGTTGAGAAGATCAAAGACCGCCAACGTGACACCAAACTGTGGAACGGATCGAACCACCCGTTCTGCCCATCCACTAAAGAGCACATCCGGCCCTTCCTTGGTGGCAATATCATTCATAACTTGGAACATGGATGCCTTGCTGCTCTCCTCATCTTCCACAACACCAACCGTATTCTTGGCCATGGACAATTGACTCGACGAGGATGCCGCACGCAATGGCACGGGACTCCCTCTATTATTACTGGGCAAGTTGTTGTTCGAAGAAGACGATTCCGTCAATGGTGTTCCCACCTTCATCGGTGGCGGACTCGCTCTCGCTTGTTGCAGTCTGGTTTTGACGACATCGGCGGGTGTGGAAATCATGGCGGCAGGTCCCGCGGCAATGCTACCCGCCAGCAAATTGGCCCAAAAGGTGACGGTTTCGGGCGGGCAAATACCCACCAATGCGGCGGCAAATGCCACCTTGGTATGGGCATAGAGCGGAAAGAGAACGGCCGAAAAGACCACATCCCGTGCCACACAGGCACCGGCTCCCTGGTACAAATCGGCCAATCCGTGAAGTTGCGAAAGGACTTCTTTGGCTCCCATTTGGGAGGTTTGAATTTTGAGTTTAACGACTTCCAGTGGATTGGTGACAATCACTTGTGTGGCGCCGGCAAATCCACCGGCAAAGACTTCTCCCGCCAAAGGCAAGTATCCCAATTGTGCCATTAACATTCCTCGCACCATGGCGTTGGCACCCAGTTTGACAGTTTTCTCTGGTGCGACACCCACCACGTTGACCATGAGTCCACGGTACAATGCAAACGGACCGCCGTTGCGAACAATATCCAATGCGGCATCAAAGCCTCCCTCGTATTTTTCACGGCCTTCTTCCGTCTGCAGTTGAGACTTCACATAGTCAATGGGATAGGCAGCAATGGCTCCGGTACTCCCAGCAATGGCACCCACGGCCGTATGGACCAGAGCAGGTGCTAGAGCCCAAGTAACTGTGGGACAGAACAAATACAAAAAGAGGACTGAACGATGCATTTTCGTGGTTGACAGAATTTCCGGCTTTTGCAGATGAATAAGATGAGTGATGCAAGGCAATGAAGGCAATAAAGGAATCTATCGTTGTTGAGCTTGCTTCTATGATACCGATATCAATAGCAATCTATCACTGCCAATCCAGATCTGTGCGAGGTTGATGGGTGCTGCCGACCATGCGGAATTTTTTGAAAGTGCATTTTTTTTCAAAAAAGTGGCTTGACCAAAAACAGCTGGTCGTCGATGCCACGTACCCACGATTGCCATCACTCGCGGTATTCTGACGCTCGGAAGGGCTTCTCATTGGTTAAGTCACGAACCGAGAGGTCCCAATCGCGGAAATTCGGCCGGAACTTCCTGAAGCGTGGGAGTTGAATTGGCTAAGGGGGGTGCGACAAGGAACGGCCAACTTTGAAGAGGAAGAGATTTTTTGTATTCCTGGCATTGGTGCTGGCTTATAGTTGGCCGAGAACGAAGACGAACAGCGTCCCGGTACATGTACCCAACTCGAGCTACCATACCATAGAACTATCATACCAGTAGTGTAGCTCTCCTAGAAGAGCCAGATTACAAGTGACAGCAAGGACCCAAGGGCAGCACTGAAGTCTGCAACGTTCCAAAGATATTATTATCGGTACAATGCCAAGGCTAGAGTGCGACAATGAATATTACGACCAATCTGAATTCCTACAGCAAATTCAACTGCTTTCCCCGCTACACAAGCTGGTTGTCACACATGCACCTTTGGACTTGATCCGATATGCATACAACAAGGACCCAGAAGCTTTGAATGCGGATATCATTTATGATGCATGCAGGTTTAACACGAATCCAGAAATCCTTGATTTTCTTTTGGAACTTGCAGGACCCGATTCACTCTCCCTCGAAGAGATTGCCTCAAGCATGCATGAAATAATTGACGATTATATTGATGTCATATTTGATCGTACCGGTATGACAGAATTATTTGAAAGACTGAGACCTTTGGCTAAAAGATTCCCACGTGCCTTTGTATATGCTGAAGCGCCAGAAAAGCTGAGTCCCTTGGCATCTGCCCTCCAGATGGACATGCGTGGTGAATACAAGTTTGAGCTGATTCGTGACATTCCATCAACCACAGAGGTCCTCAACTTTGGAGACTACATTACATTTCATGATGCCTACAAGGAAGACATAGTACCACGAGAAGTTGTGGATACAACAGATGCTTTGGTTTCCAGACTCAATAAAATGACGGATCTACAAAGCCTGAAATTGAAAATTTGCTATCAAGATGAAAAGTTGATAGATCCTGTTTGTAACCTGATCGCTTCTGGGAAGCTGAAATCTCTTGTTGTCTCTGCTGCGCCGGAAAATGCAGATGAAGACCCTCTAAGCTTCTTTTCCCCTATCTTCAACTCCATCAAAGGATCCGCGCTACGGGAGTTTGGGCTTCTTGGCCTCCAAGACAGCAACTTGGCAAACTCACACCAGGATCTCATCCTTGAGATTCTAAAGAGCAATTTCACTTTGAGACAAGCTCACATCAGTGCCCTTCCTGCATATGAAGATTGTTCCAATAGATCGAAGAAGCAAAGAGCTATTGATTACTACACAACACTCAACCGATATGGAAGGTCTAGAGTGCGAAACCCAGAGTCGCAGTTGATAGAAATTGTCGATAATCTGGCACAAGCAGCTCAGCAAAGTGAACCAGAGCATCCCACATGGACATCAGCCGTCCCCGTGATCTATGGGCTCCTAAGGGAAGCACCTGGAAAATGGAGTGTATCAGCTGCGGCCAAACAGATTGCCAGACCCAGAAGAAGCCCCAGACTCAAACGAAAAGCTTCACATTCCCTGAATAGAAATCTCTGGGTTGAATGAACATGATCACATGATCTCCTGTTATGAGCATTGTAACAAATAGAGATCAGAAGCACACCCATCGTCGCCGGACCAGTACCTGGTACCATCCCGGTACTGCTACGTGTACCAGGTACCAGTACGGTACTACATTTCTGCAACAGTAGTTGCACAGCCTCAGTATGTGCTTCCCCCTACTACTATGTGGATCTTACATACCCTCAGGATCAATGACAGTATGCTACGTAGAAAACCTATGGTATTGGCAGTCATTGAAACAAAGATCCTCTCAATAAGACTCTCATTATTAAATAAACTGAGAGGATTTAGACATAAGGCTCGTGCCTGGATAAATAGAGGAGGATGCACATACTGAGAGGATTCCAATAATCGCTTAAGTAACACCAAACATACCGTACCATTCCAATGAGATCCAATCGTTCCGATCCAACCGTTGCAGGTTGGGTATACTCAAGCCCAAAGATACGATCGATCGCATCGATCACATGGGATTTGCCCGTTGTTTGCCTCTTTACGGCACGGGATTCGATGCACTGAGTATGCTTCACTGGTAACGATCAATCGATCGTACGATTGGTAGCTACCGGTAGCTAGCTAGCCAGTTCAGTTCAGTTCAGTTCAGTTCAGTTCAGTTCAGTTCAGTTCAGTTCAGTTCAGTTTTCCTCATTATTTTCATTCCTTCTACTCTATAAAGGAAACTCTGCCGAAATTCCAGCTCAACCAACAATTGCTTGGTTGACCAAACAATTGTTCCACCATGGCCAATGCTGGAGCAGCCTTTGGGTTGAAGGATGTGCCGGATTTGCCTGAAGCACCCACGGAACAGCCCAAGTACAACCGGGATTACCATCGTCTCTTCGTCAAATTCATGAGCTGGCTGCACAAGAGGACATACACCAAGGCGGCTCGCTTCCAACCTAGTGCTTTGGCCGGCATCCAACCACACCACGTTGCCGACTACTTGAAATGGCGTGCGTATGGTACGACCGATGTTGACTTCAAAGACCTCGAGCAGAATCCAACTTGCCGCTCCTCTACTCTTGAGCAAGACAAGAAGGCTATTTCCTTTACATGCCCATCAAAGGTGCCACTGGAATGGAACCTCCGGCAATCAACCAAGTCGATCCTGTGAACGAAGTGGTCAAGGAAGTCAGAAAGCGGAGACTCAACAACGCGGGAAGAAGTCCTGTGCCACCAGGGATTTGAGGAAACTGAGTATCGCAAGTGGTCCATGAACTCTACGGCAAGGGAGCTTTGAATCGACCATCCGTACAGCCTGCATTTGAAGCAGCAAGTCCATCTCATCACCAGGAGGACGACATCTCCAAGTTGAAGTATCCGACTACAAGCCGCATCCAGACTTTCCTTTTGCGCTCAGTTGCAAGGTGCATTGTTCCAAGAATATTTCGGAAAACGACAATGCCCTGACCAAATCATTCTTGGGTCGATGGATACAGACTTTTGTGCTATGCTCGGATTGGGAATTACATGGAGGCGTCCTTCACTACGGGTATGGCGCCGCTGGTCGGGAAGATGCATTCCTCTTTACTCCCGAAAGCGATCCTAAGTTGGCTCCCAAGCACTGCGTTGCAGCCTACCGCAACATTCTCAAGGCTGTCTTTTTGTCGGCTCCATTTCTGGCTGTGGCGCTCCTCATTGCTGTGTTCTTGGGAGTCACAGAATTCGGAAGTTTGCTGCAACTCTGGCAAGAGGATGGGTGCTACTGCTGACGAAGTTGACATTCGAGTCGCTGGAAGGCTCGCTTGCCTGGACGGGTTGTTGATGCCTACATTTCGCCTGAACAGCCCTGGATCGACGCCCGTGTTGCCGAAAAGCTTTGCATGGGGGCTCCTATTGCTTACAAGCTACACCCGGATGCCAAGAGAGTGACTCCCGACTGGTTGATTGAGCATGTGGTGCAAGGACGCATGCGTTTTACGACGGTGTAACGACATTTCGCTTCACTTGTGCTCTGCCTCTTTTGTGGGCCGCTCTTGACGAATCTTGGGAGGAGAGGATGGAGCCTCCGGTTCGTGTTAGGATCCAAGATGCGTACGAGCGCATCAACGCCGATCTTCCTGTTGGGTCAACCCTGTGGTGAAAGTGCCTCTCTCTATTTGGACGAAAACACCAAGCTCCACATCACGAAATGAGCCGATGGATACGGAGGGCGGTGGCACGGCGGTGGCACTACGGGAACGACCGGCCAGGCAAGCACTCGTCAAGTTGCCAATAGTCCGGCAGGTGACGGCTATGCAAACGCAACAGCAGGTACAACGAACGAGGAGATTCTAACAAGGATTATTGCGCAGCACAACCAGCTCCAGCAGCTCATTGCGCAGGAAGGTAGGACCCGCGACAGTTCGGCTGCTGCTTTGAGAGGTTGTTGGAGACTTGGCTTGGCGCGGAGCTGACGAAACAATGGAAATATTTGCAGGTAAGTGTGGACTTGTGGCTGTTGGCTATTGCAACTATGGCTATTACTGCTGCTAACTATTATTTTTGTATGTTTTTAGGATTGCTTTCAGCCTCCAAGGATGGCAACACCTGATCAGGTAGATGGTAATCTTTTTAGAAATGGGTTGACTGTGGAAAGGACTCGCCGGAAGGCCAGACTAGCCTCAGGTACAGACAAGCTGTGGCCACCACCCCTGCTGATAGTAGGCCTGCCAAGCTAGCTAAGTACAGAACTGTTGGCTCTGCTGGCAAGAGTGGATGCATGGTATTGGTGGCAACAAGCCACCAAGAACTTCACTGCTGATGATATCAGGGCTTGCAAGTCAACCTACTCCAGGAGGAAGCCACTTGGATCTCATGGCTACATTGTCAATGCTCAAAAGCTCCAGCTTGGTCATCTCCAAGATGAGGAGCATTACAAAGGAAGTGTTTTGAATATTACTGCTGCCATCAAGCAGGACACCATTATGGGCAGTCTGCATGAGGATCTTTGTATTGTTCGTGCTCAGTAAAGTTGACCTTAGTTTGATAAGCATGGTAGCCATGCCTAATAGTGAGTTTGTTGCATGAGGACTTCTGGCTGGTGGCATTTTCGTTTTCGTACCCGTAGCCAGCGATTTCGTGGACTTGTGCTTTTCGTGGACTTTTCGAACGTACGCTAGCTAGCTAGCTAGCTAGCTACTAGTAGTAGCGATTTCGAGATAATAGAGGTGCGAGATAATAGAGGTGCGAACGACGTTATCTTAACAGTGAGTAGTAGAGGTGCGAGCCTCATTTTTCTTACGACCGAGGCGGTGACCTTTCGTTCGCTCACTGGTATGAATGAACGAACGATCAACCAGCATACACCAGGTGTCGCCTGGTGTTAGTATACCTCGATCGATAGGAAGGATACCTCCTGTAGGATCCACTACCACAGGTACAGGCTCTCAGTATTTCTCTCAGTTCAGGGATATACTTTTACGGTACCGGTCCGAGCAAATGGATGCATCCTATCAGCTAGACTGGCTTATTGCTCACAGAACAAAAGATCCCTTCGTGTTGAAACATATCTGGTTTTTTCGCCAACAACAGCCCCAAACTGCGAGTACTGGACTCTTGCACGCATTGGCTTGTCAGTGTCCGAAGAAATATATTGAAGCACGCTGGTAGTCATAGCCAGAAGCTGTAATACAATGCCAATGCTAGAGTACTATCCGTACTCGTTCAATGAGCCCCTCGATAATGCTAATAGATTCCTAGAGAAAGTTCAATGTGTGAGATTGTGAGGGATCATAAGATCCTCAACAACCTGGAAGGTCAGCCTGCTTCCAATCCTGCAATGAAAGAATGATCCTCAACTGTTTCAAAATGAAATATCAAGAGGCAACAGTTGGGGAGTAAGTAGATAGTTTAATGGGTAATAGCTCACAATGTAGCACTCAAACCCTCACGCTTCCTCTGCTCATGCAACGCTACATGCTTCGAGCAACTCACCAACTCACTATAGTATTTGACGTACTATAGCAAGTAGAAGAGCACCTCGTGAGCCAACTGGTGCACATCCTAGCACCAGATACAATCCTCACAATCTTTCGATTAGAGGAACCAACACTCCTTTACGTCGATAAAGGAAACCAGTTGACAAGATTTCAAGCTCAGGATCAGAAGATCAAGGCCAGTTCCCAGACAGAGAGCAGAGAGCATCCAGAAGAGCTGAACAGATACAGGAAGCAGCCAGACAGCTTCAAAGGACAAGAGAGCGGATTCAGAGAAGAGGGACAGACAACAAGAGCCTCAGCAAGAACCGATCATGGACCCAGCAGCCATTCAAGCAGCCGTACAAGCCGCGGTGGCAGCAGTGCTCCAGGACCAAGCAGTTCTGGATGCAATCCGCCCACAGCAACAACCTGCAGTCGCAGTTCCATTTGCAGTGAATCCAGCAGGAACTGGAAACAATGCTTGGGATTTCAGCTCATCAACCGGACTCAAGATGTACATCGCATCCACCACTCCCTTCCGTCATGCGTACGATGGAAAAGAATCAACGCTTCGTGACTTCCTCCGTAAGATCGCACAAAGAGCCGAATCGTTCGGATGGACTCCCATCCTAATGGTCACGGATGCTGACGTCACGGCTCGCAACATCACCATTCAGCATGCCTGCCTCACCACGGATCTCGTCCAAGCACACGCGATCACATACTTACGTGTTGAAGGGCGAAACCACCAAGCCTCTGCGTGTCTGCACAAGCTCATCATGGGATCAATTACCTCCAAGCTTGCCGACAGGTTGACAACCCGCAGCGACAAATTCACGGTCAACGCAGCCGCGGCAGTGGCACCTGGAGTGGCACCTCCACCTCCCGTGATGAAGGAGGACGGAGTGTGCATGCTTCACGAATTGATCAAGCTTGTATCAGTGGAAACAAGGGCGAGCATTGCCATCATCAGCAGGAAGCTGAACAACCTTGCCCAAGTCATGGAAGAAGTGGAATCCAACGTCGAGGACTTCAATTCCACGGTAGAAGGGCTCCTCGACCAACTCCACTCCAAGAGCGTGGAGATCCCTCCAATGCTGGAAAACCTGTTCGAGGGATATGCCAATTGCACCGACCTCACATTCGTGAAGTACATGGGTCGCAAGCAAGAGGCGTATGAAGATGGCACCATCGAGGAGCTCGGATACGGAGCCTTGATGAAGATGGCTATCGAGAAGTACAAGATCTTGGTCGACAAGAAGGTGTGGCTCAGGAAAACTGAAGAGCAACTCGAGATCATGACCTTAAAGGCCGAGATTGGCCAGCTCAAACAGTTCCCGAAGCAACAGAAGGCCAAGTCCAGCACTGACACTGAAAAGAAATCGGCAAAGCAATCCAAAGACGCCGACAAATATGCCTGGAAGCAGGTAGCTCCCAAGACAGGAGAACCAAAGGAGAAGACTGTGGGAGGAAAGGAGTACATCTTCTGCCCTCATCACCACACCACCAAGTGGGTGCTCAAGGTCAATGACAAGGGTATCGTCCATCGCACGGGATGCACCAAGATGAAGGAAGCCCGTGCCGATGCTGCAGGAGCAAGTGATGCCGGTAGTGAAGCGGCAGCCCTGGCCAACGCCTTTGAACAAGAACAAGATGAAGAGGCAATCGAGGATGAGGAAGTCTGATGGTGGCGGAGTAGAGTCTCAATCGCCATCACAATACTTTGTAATCACTATAGTGACCACTGTGTGTTCGCGTATTATTCTCTTCTCTTAGCCATAGTCAACGCAATAGCGTACCTCTCCATAGCCAGATCCGAAGTGACACGTCGTCTTCTTCGGCTCGAAAGGAACCTTGATGAAGCAGCCGCAGAACAACAAGTGGCTGGCACGTTGTCACTGATGCTACTGGCAAACAGTGCACACATCGCATCATGGGCGACTGAATTCAGTCAACACTGGGCGTCCTGGTTCCTCCTGGTCACGATCTTCGACCATCCCTCTGCTATAGCAGCACGTCTTGCCGTCATGTTTGTCGGCACAACCATCGACATAGCGTGTCTCATGTTCATGAGCACGCATATTGGTTCGGCGTTCCTAAGCTTCCTGCTCCCAACCAGAGTACTGTTGGATTGGGCAATGCAACCACAAGTGGCTCCTCCGTATGTACCAAAGAGACTCAGGAGGAGACCATCAGCAGCCAAAGAGGCAATCACCCGGGCGATTGGAGCATTCAGCAGTGTCCTGTTGACTCTGGGGTCCACGACAATGCTGTTGTATCAGCTCATTGACTTGTCGGTCAGAGAGTCGATGGAACTCACGACGGTAGAGACCAAATCGAAGCCAAGCTCTGACAACTTGGGCGATGACCCATTCCTCGATCAGGAAGACGACGATCCGGAGGGACCATACTCCAGCAAGGCAAGAGGCTACTCGAAGCACACGAAGGATGTTCGAATGCTTTGGGACATCACACCACCCAAGGATAGATCTGAACCGACGACGATGCAGCTCTTCATCAGGTTCCTGTTGCTGCTCAAGGGCGGACTCGAGATAGCTGCTTGCGAAGGAAACCCACTGGTGGCTTACCAAGTGGTGCTCCTATCACTGTCGAGTCGAATAAACAGGAGTGCAGTCGATCATCAGTACGACTCGGACTCCATCCTCATAGCAATCGACAATTGCTCATCGAGATGCATCACCAACTCGATGGCAGACTTCATTGACAAGCCGACCAAAGTCAGCGTATCGGTCCAGGGAATTGGTGGATCTGTGATGGCCACATTTAGAGGCACCGTGAGATGGTCTATCGAGGACGATCAAGGGAGGATCCACCATTTTGTCATACCCAACACTTACTACAATGCAGCGACGCCATACAGGTTGCTGTCTCCACAGCATTGGTCAAGAGTCATGAGTGACAACTCCCCAGAGCAAAGGGGAACGTGGTGTGCCACGTACGAGGACGCGGTCGAGTTGTTCTGGAGCCAGAGGAAATTCAAGAGAGTCGTCCCGCTATCGCCAAGCAACAACATAGCAATTGTCAGGAGTGCTCCTTCCTTCAGCGCACTTCACGCGTTCTGCCAAGAAGTGTCGAGTGACCGTCCTGATCACGGCGGATCTTTCGATGAGACAGAACTTCTGGCGTGTCCAGCCGTCGAAGTGTCGGATGATGAGTCGGTCTCTTCAACCGGTAGTCTGTCCGACGACTCAGAAGACGAAGGACCAGTAGTGACAATGCATCCGGATCTCCCTCCTGGAGTCCGCGAAAGCAAAGAACAGTCTGGAGGTTTTCAGGAGAAGATGACTGATGCGTTCAAAATGGGCGAACAGCTCAGCAAGGTGACGCAGATACCCATAGACGACCACCGGTACACCAAGTACAAAGATCCGTCGGCAGAACTGCTGGCTTGGCACTACAGGCTGGGACACATGTCGTTTGCCAGAGTAAAGAAGCTGGCTGACAGGGGAGACCTCCCAGCTTATCTGAGCAAAGCTAGGGCGCCTCAGTGCTCCAGCTGCATGTTTGGGAAGGCAACGAGAAGACCATGGCGCACCAGGACTCCTCCCAACCAGATACAGCTCCCTCCTGCAACGACTCCAGGAGCGGTCGTCGCCGTCGATCAGCTGATATCATCAACGGCGGGTTTTATTGGGCAAATGAGAGGGATCTTGACGAAGAGAAGGTACACCGTGAGCACGGTATTCATCGACCATTTCAGCGGGCTCTCTTACGTCCATTTCCAGACCTCCACTTCGGCAGAGCAGACCATACTGGCAAAGCAAGCTTTCGAGAGGTATGCCAAGTCCTTCTCAGTGACGGTCAGGCACTATCATGCCGACAACGGAATCTTCGATAGCAAGGCGTTCGTCCAAGAGGTTCACCGATGCGGACAGACAATCACGTACGCGGCCGTGAACGCCCATCACATGAACGGCAGGGCCGAGAAGAAGATCCGTGACCTGCAAGAAGCCGCGAGGACCATGATTCTGCACGCGAAACAGAGATGGCCAGTGGTAATCACGGCCAACCTATGGCCATACGCCGTTAGGTACGCGAATGACATTGCGAATGAGACGCCGCTGCTCAAGAACAAGGAACATGTCTCGCCAATCGAGCTGTTCTCATCGGTGGACGTCTCTCCCAAAGTGAAGAATACCCACACATTCGGGTCACCGGTATACGTTCTCGACGCAAGGATCCAAGAAGGAAGGTCACTACCGAAATGGGAGCACAAGGCGAGGATTGGCGTGTACTTGGGGCTGTCACCACGACACTCGAGAAAGGTGGCTCTGGTGCTCAGTTTGACAACGGGCCTAGTATCACCGCAATTCCACTGCCAGTTCGATGACCTCTGCGACACGCTCAAGCGGTCCTCAGGGAACCCAGTACCACAATCCAAGTGGCAGGAAAAGGCTGGTTTGGTGGAAGCGACGGAACAAAGGAGGACATCTCCATCGTCCACGATTTCCGAAATGGAGAAAATAAGAGAAGAACAGCGTGACGGGAGTCGTTCAGTCGCGATTGACTTGCGCGACTCGGAACCACTCCCACCGCGACAACAAGAAAACAGAACAAACAATGACGAATCAACCATCGATCAGCAAGAGCAACATGTTGGATCGGACAGAGGACGAGAGCGACGGCAGCAAGAGGAAGTCGCCCAACAGGAGGCGCCGGTGGTCACGAGATCAGGGCGAACAAGCCGAGCGGCGAGCCGTCTGATAGAAGAGATGGAATCTTACTCGGCAATTCCATGGGAAGTTTTCCACGATGAAGGCTACATGATTCAAGATGAGATGGACGATCCCATCTCGTTTGCTGCCTCGTCCAATCCGGACATCATGTACATTGATGGTGCGATGAAGGCGGAAGATAGAGTACAATTCCGCGAGGCTATGGTTCAGGAAGTCAAGTCTCATACCGACTGGAGTCATTGGAAAGTGGTCCGCAAATCAACCATGCCGAGCGGAGCTCCGTTGTTACCGGCCGTCTGGGCATTCCGAAGAAAGCGTCGAATCGCGACGCAAGAGATCTACAAGTGGAAGGAAGGCTCGTCTGAACGTTCATGGAGGCAAGCAAACAAAGTTTGTCAACTACTGGGAAACATACTCTCCGGTAGTGGGTTGGTCAACCATCAGATCCTTCTTGATCCTGATGCTCATCAACAAGTGGAGATCAAGACAAGTCGACTTTGTGCTTGCGTTTCCACAAGCAGACATCGAGTGTGAGATGCACATGGAAGTCCCTCAAGGGTTCTACGTGGACACGTCGAAGGAACCGGTGTTGAAACAAGGCGAAGGCAGCAAGCGATACCGCGGAGACTACTGTCTGTTGCTGGAGAAGAATCTGTATGGCCAAAAACAGGCTGGCAGGGTCTGGAATCAGTACATGCACGACGGACTCATCGCAAGGGGATTCCATCAAAGCGAAGTCGACATGTGCGTCTACTATCGCGGATCAGTTGTGCTACTGGTCTACGTGGATGACAGCATATTCATCGCTCCCACGGACAAGGAAATCGACGAGGCATACGAGTCGCTGTCGAAGCCGTGCACAAAAGACGGGACAACGTTCAGAGCACTCAACATGACGAACGAGGGGACCCTCTCGGACTATCTAGGAGTCAAGATCGAGCCCTTGGAAAATGGAACAATCAAGCTCTCGCAGCCTCATCTGGTAAAGCAGATATTAGATGACCTTGGAATGTCCCAAGAGAAAACCAAGCCGCAATCGACGCCAGCAGCGTCTACAGTCAGGCTACACAGGGACATTCACGGAGAAGAGTTTCAGCAGGACTGGCACTACCGAAGCGTGATCGGGAAACTGAATTTCCTGGAGAAGTCAACAAGAATGGACATTGCCTATGCGGTGCATCAATGCGCCAGGTTCTCTGCAGAACCAAAGGAGTCGCATGCCGCAGCAGTAAAGAAGATCGGTCGCTATCTTGTCGGTACTGCCGATAAGGGAGTCATCCTCAATCCACAGTCTTGTTCTTTCGACGTGTTTGTGGATGCTGATTTCGTTGGCAACTGGAATCGTGCCACGTCGGATGTGGATCCAAGCACAGCACGATCAAGAACGGGCTATGTCATCCTATACGGTGGCTGTCCAGTGGTATGGGCCTCCAAGCTACAGAAGGAAGTGGCACTGTCGACAACGGAGGCAGAGTACAATGCCATGTCAGAATCCCTACGGGACACAATCAACTTGATGCAACTTATAGAAGAGTCTAAGGAGGTTCTGAAGTGGAGGATACACGACAAACCACCGGTGGTACACTGCAAAGTGTTTGAAGACAACAGCGGAGCTCTCGAGATGGCTCTGCTCCCAAAGATGCGACCAAGGACGAAACACATTGGTGTGAAGGTGCATCACTTTCGAGACCATGTCAGAGCAGGCAAGATATCAATACACAAGATACCCAGTCGGTACCAACTAGGAGACATGGCGACAAAGCCACAGCCAGTCGAGCTGTTCGAGTTCCAGAGAGAGTGTATCATGCAGTGGTTAGCTGAGACCATGACACGAGAACAGCTATTGCAGCCCGGGAACCATCTGAGGGCGTGTGAGATTGTGAGGGATCATAAGATCCTCAACAACCTGGAAGGTCAGCCTGCTTCCAATCCTGCAATGAAAGAATGATCCTCAACTGTTTCAAAATGAAATATCAAGAGGCAACAGTTGGGGAGTAAGTAGATAGTTTAATGGGTAATAGCTCACAATGTAGCACTCAAACCCTCATCAATGGCTTCCGCCACTACACAAGCTGGTTGTCACAAATGCACCTTTGGACTTGATCCGATATGTGTACAACAAGGACCCTGAAGCTTTGAATGCGGACATCATTCATGATGCATGCAGGTTCGTCCCATTGCCAAGTGATGTCCTTGACTTGCTGTTGGAACTAGCGGGACCAGAGGCATTCCCCACAAAAGACATTGCTTCGGCAATGCATCATTTCTTGGATAACTTGCAAGATATATTCAATGATGAACGTTTGGATCAGTTTGAATTGTTTGAGCATCTCTATTCCAGGTTCCCAAAGGCATTGGTGTATATTGAGGCCCCAAACAAGTTGAGTCCGTTTGCAACTGCCATCCAGATGGACTTCCCTGGCTCCCACAAGAGTTTCATGATAAGCCATATTCCACGGAGCACAAGACACCTCGACTTTGGAGAGTATTGTCCATATGAAGAGGACGATTTCGATTACAATGAGGAGGAATGTGTAGGTTTCGATACCACCTCCGATGCTATGGCTTCCGGGCTAAATAGAATGACGGATCTACAAAGCCTGCGGTTGAAGATTTGCTATCAAGATGAAAAGTTGATAGATCCTGTTTGTAACCTGATTACTGCTGGGAAGTTGGAGTTTCTTGTTGTCTCTGCTACGCCGCAAAATGCAGATGAAGACCCTCCAAGCAGCCTCTTTTCCCCTATTTTTGACTCCATCAAAGGATCCGCACTACTGGAGTTTGGGCTTCTTGGCCTCCAAGACAGCAACTTGGCATGCTCATACCAGGATCTCATCCTTGAGATTCTAAAGAGCAATTTCACCTTGAGGCAAACTCACATCAGTGCCCTTCCTGCATATGAAGATTGCTCCAATAGATCCAAGAAACAAAGAGATATTGATTACTACACAACACTCAACCGATATGGAAGGTCTCTGGTGCGACACCCAGAAACACACTGGATAGAAATTTTTGATAATCTGGCACAAGCAGCCCAGCGAAGTGAACCAGAGCATCCCACATGGACATCAGCCGTCCCGGTGCTCTATGGGCTCTTAAGGGAAGCACCTGGAAAATGGAGTGTGTCGGCTGGGGTCGAACAGGTTGCCCGACCCAGAGGAAACCCCAGACTGTCACTCAAACGAAAAGCTTCACATTCCCTGGATAGAAGATCTCTGGGTTGAATGAACACGGTCGCCTTTTATGAGTATTGTAACAAATAGAGAGTTGGTATCTGTAGAGATGTGTTGGTTTGTGACTTTGGTTTGTCACTATGATGCTATTCTTAACTTCGAACATGGCCAACGTCTCAGTTTGAATATGTTGTTTCAAGGCTATCAGGGCTTATTGAAGCTACTCAGGTTGGCCGGAGCCATCTGTCTTGATTGCGGAAACATAGCCAAACGAATCGCTTCCGAGTCTTTTCAGGTACGTTGCGAAACCCACCTTGGGAACGAATCTGTTTTTCTCCTTATCCCAATAGTTGGAATGGACCAAGGCATGTTCAATGTTGGCAAAGACCACCATGGCTGGGTTGGTGGCTTCATCGGTTCGTACGACTTTGTATACTCGACAGGGCATGTGAGCAATGCAACCTGCAATCCCTCGTTGATGCGGCCATTTTGGATCGTCGGTCAAGATGGGTTGCCAAGAAATCCTGCCTGCAGCAGCTTCCGGTGTTTCCGGTGTAGTTTTATCATCTTGGCCGATTGAGCATCCAACCCTGTCACAATCCTTGACTGTTTTCACTACACCTTCCATCCCCTGAACTGGCACTGACAACAAGAAGCTCCGTCGAGCACTACTTGCATCCCCACCCGTACGGAAGACGCCTTGATGTTTGCTTGTGTTTGGAATGCAAAACATGAACGACCCGGTGTTGTTTGTGGCTGTCACCCGTTCTAGGACGACGGTGTTGGCAGCGCCTTCCTTGTCACGATCCTCATGGCCGTTGAACACCAGTAGGCATAACGGGTTGGGGTAAAGCAGCCGGCTAAACTGCTTCCCATCGTCTAGCTGAATCCAAGCAGACTCTGCTTCCTTCGGATGGTTTCCAGTACACTTCAGTGCTGAATTTTGTTGTGGCAATTTGGAATGTACAGGTAACTTGGCGTTGTCGATTGTTGGTGGATTCCTCACAACGTACCCAAAGGACTGGGATCCCAAGAAACTCGAAGTAGAGGAATGTTCCAAGGACTTGGGAGCAAATATCTTTGTGTCCGGATCCCAGTGAGCCGTTCTTACGAATGCACGTAGCATCGCCACTCGTACAAAGTAGTGTTCGTCATCGATGATGGATTCCTCTTTACTCACAACTTGACAGTGGATGTGAGCGAGAGTGCCCTCTATAGCAAACGTTTCTGCTTCCTTCCCTTCCTTTCCTTGTTTCTCTCTGCGCAACCCGGGAATCCCCATTTCGAAGCGTTGCCTCTTTTTGGCGCGTTTACTCATGCGAGCTTGGTCGCCCCGAGAAGCATACGTCTTGTCATTGTTGCTGTCACGTGTTTTTGTCTGCTGGTCCTTATCATTGGAATAGTCTTGTGGGAACTTGCTCTTTCCCCACCGCCCCGAAACGCTGCCGACGTTCAGGGCGAGTTCCTCGTTGTGCGACCCTATAATTGACAAACAAACAGGGGACCCACTGTTCAGCATTGTGCTTGTGTGTCTTCGCTTGTTCATGCTCATGACGAGGCAATCTCCTCCGGCAGCAATCAGCCAAGAAATCACCATCACGTTGCATTTCGGCCCAGTTGACGACGAGCTTGGACCAATGACACTCAAGAAGCACACAGGACAAGCCGAAAAGAGATTCAGCTGATCGCTGGAATCCTCTAGCTGGATCCACAGTGGGGCAGCATGATTGTTGTCTGTCATGCCCTTCAATCGAATGCAGCCAATAGTGGCTAAAGAAGGGGTCAGGACCGAGCTTCTTTCGGGATGCGTCGAAGTCCGCTCACAGTTTTGGCGTGGAAAAGTTAATCCCGCGTTCCCATCAAAACTCGGCGCCGCGCACCTCGATCGTTTTCCCCCAATCTTCGCACTTCGCAGCGTTTGAAGACGACATGATCACAAATTTGCCATAATGTCATGATGGCTCCCGATGCAGTCAACAACCAGAGAGGTTATCCACCGCGGAGATGCATCCGATTACTATTGCTGTTACTGGTGCCATCGTACTTCATAGTACGTCTTCATCGTGCATTGTTCAATGACGGCTTTGGTAACCTGTACGACAACATCGACTTCTTTCCGGGCTTGATGGATCTTCCTGACGCCGGAGTCCCCCGAATGCACCATGGAGCCTTTGCTGACTTTTCGTCGTCCAGCAGGCGGCACTTGTCATCAGACCAAAACTACTCAGCGCTGATGCAACAGCAACTATCAGGCAACGATACGACGATCCTACCAGAGCAACAACACGAAGCCGGACAAACCTCATCCGAGCGCAATAGCGCTACTCGCAACAAGACCCTTACCCTCAAAAGCAACTCAGTGTACCCAGAAAGTCATCTACGTGGAGCATACGCTTCTGTACCCCGCCCGGTACGGCCAAGTGCCGATGCTCCCGAAAACATCTCATCCGTGGACCCAGAAAAGCAGCTACACGGAGCATACGCTTCGGTACCCTTGTCCGCACGGCCAACTTCCGATGAACTGATTGAAGCAGCTCTCAAGAAGAAGCGAAGACAAAGAGGCCGCCGCCGACGCAGGGAGCACATTGATGGGGAGGTGGGAAATCAGGAAAGCAACAAAAAGAAGCGCCGCCGTCAACGACAAGGTCAAAATCCTCGTCGGAGATCGGAACCCAGGGAGTATAAGGACACTGACTTGTCCAAAAACATCACTTCCTATTCCTATCTTCCGATTGGAAAGTACGTGGCATCGGCCCTTGAGGAAAGGTCGGAACAGGCCAAGACCAGCGGAAATACGTCTTCTCCTTACGCTTACGCTTTTGTCATGGGAGGTGTCAACGAGCAAGACGGTCGGTATTTAGGAATGTTTTACAACATTTTGATTGCAGCATACATTTTCGACAAGGAGGGATCTTCCGCGGATGTGGTCGTGTACGTCCAAATGTCAGCAAACTCTACGTTGACGGAACTACCTGAGGACAACACCCGCCTTTTGACGGCGATGGGTGTGAAAATAAAGTACTTACCCAAGCCCAAGGTGGAAAACTTTCATCAGATTATCATGCAAAAGTTGGTGATTCTAGAGTTGGTGGAGTATCGACGAGTGATCTTTCTAGATACCGACGTCATGCCGTTTTGCAACCTCGACTACGTCTTTCACTTATCCGACAGCCCCAAACCAGTTCTCAAGAAGAATCTCATCATTGCCCTTTCGGGGTCACCGGGTATGTCTTCTTGCGTTTGTGTTGAGAACAAGCTGCGCTGAGACACTAACGACATGTACTGCGTTTTGTTTTGTTTTTGGCTCGTTATACAGCGAATGCAGGTAGGAGACTGTCTTGTTATGAAACCCAAACGGCTTGCCAGTGATGCTTGCTCATTATTCTGGTGCACGTGTCTTTGCTGTCTATTAGGTTTCTTCATGTTAGCTCCAAAACCAGGAGAAATCGAAAAGCTGAGGAAAATAGTTGCCAAGCAGCAGGCAAGAGCGAAAGACAAAGGTGTTCCATTTGAC